CATGCCTGGAGCATGACCTGAGCAGAAAGGTTGCCCATTGCTGGTGGCCAGACAGGGCGAGAAGAGCTGGGTCTGGGACTAGCCCAGGTGAGGGGCAAGCAGAGGACAATAGACACGGGGCTCCCTCCATGACATCTTCCTACCAAGCACTTTTGTAGGGCCAGATCCCGCATAAAGCCCAGGACACCCAGGGAATCAGAAAGCCCAATCTCAGGACTCTTTGTGGGGCAGACCTGAAGGACAGACCCCTGCAGCAATCAAGGGCTGTGACAGAATGCAACGTGCTGCTGGACAAGGGTCCTTGGCCCGCATAGGGGTTCAAGGGAGGCTTCCTGCGAGGCAGTGGCAGGACCGGCCCTTGGGAGCTAGTCCTGTGGCCAGAGGGGAGAAAGGCTTTCCTGCCAGGGTCAGGTCACCGACGCAGATCAGAAGCGGGGGTCGGGGGAGGAACAGGCATGCAGGGGTGGTCCAGAACAACACCAAGCACCCTGGACCAGCACAAGGCAACGGGGCTCAGCGGGTGTAGGGCGGGCCCCAGCGGCCAGCTCGCCCGCCAGTACCTGCAGGCGTGGGGCAGCAGCAGAACGCGGCCCAGCCAGGCCCGCGCGCCCAGCATGGCCTGTCCCTGCCGCAGACCCGACCACCACCGACCAGAAGGGAGAGCGGGAGGCTGCGAGAGGCGGGTCCGGGCACAGACAGAGCCGCGGGCGGGTCTTCGCCGAGACGCAGGGTCTCGTGTCTGGTCTCCGAGCGCCTCCAGGTGGCAGATCTAGGAATTGCAGATATGACAGCTCGCTCTTAGAAGGACCGTGTCTGCGCCTACAGTTGGGTTCAGCTTGGCTTAATTAAATCCTCGCCTGCGGGAAGATAAGCCTCCTGAAGGGAATACAGAGCACTGCAGGATGTCAGAACCTCAGCTCATTTTGTCCAAAATCGTTCCCACTTTACAAACGAGAAGTGAGGACCAAGCGGAAAACATGCCTTGTCCGGGTCCACCCAGCTAGCAAATATTGCCTTTGCTCAGACTCCCCACCTCAAGGTCCTGCTCAAATCCCACCTACTCCAGGAAGCCTTTCCTGAATAATAATGATGAGCCAATTTAAAACACATTTTTCTTTATTCCCAATAGAGCATGTGTATGCACATGGGATGGAAAGAGATGAGCATTCTCCCCAGGGTTTTGTCTTGTCATGACCCTTTTCCTCCACTCCTCCAGCCCGCCAGGGCATGTGGGCCCAGCGTGTTTTAGGTTGGCTGGACCAGGGCTTCAAATACTGTCACCAGGGGAGTCCAGCTTCTCTTGACCCTCACATTACCACTGTGTCACGGAGCCAATTTGATGTCCTACCAGGCCATTCGCACACTTGCCTCATGTGCTACATTCAGTCAATATTTATTCAGCGCCTGCTGCCTGCCACCCCAAAGCACTGGGTGTATGGGGATGGGAAGAGAGACAAGGCCCCTGCCCTCGTGTTGCTCACAGTCTTTTGAGAGAGGCAGAAGCTAATCCAGCAGACACACAGATAAGTATACGGCTGCTCACCGTGAGAAGTGCCGTGAATGAGTGTGACATGACAAGGGCTCTGGTCTCGGAGGAGGGCAGGGAGAAGGCTTCCCTGAGGACGTCGTATTTGTGTGGTAGCCACAGAGAGAGGAGAGGCCCAGGCACGCTGGGGAAGGAGGCCCTGTGGCATGTCAGTGACTCAGGGCTGAGGGCCTGGCAAAGCAGAGGAAGACGGGAAATGAATGAGATTAGGAGGTTGGGAGGAGGTCAGGGGCCACGTTTGGAGAGATCTGTGAAGTGTGAGAAGGGGATTTTTTTTTTTTTTTTTTGCTAGAGGGCATATGGTCTCACCAGAGATACAGAGAAAGGAGAAAGCCCCCCCACACACACACACACACATGATCATGCCACAATTCCTTCATTTCTCCATCCATTTGGGATTTGGGGCACACCTACTCATGCCAGCATATTTTTCTTTCTTTTTTTTTTATAACTTTATTCATTTATTTTAATTTGATCAGAGAGAGACAGAGAGAGAGAGAAAGAAAGGAGAGAAAGTGAGAAAGCAAGCCACCAGGTCCAGGACTTGAACCGTGATAGGCCATGTGGGAGTGTCCATTGCCTTAATCACCATGCCACCTGCAGGTCCCTGCCCAGCATGTTTTTCAAGCTGCTGGGGCTGGGATTCAAACCTTGGTTGGCCATGTGGGATCTATCTGCCTTCACCACCAGGCCATGGGGCCAGTGTAAGAAGGGGATGAGAGCAGAAGGAAGTTATTGAAAGGCTTAGCTGGGAGAGTGACCTGGCTGGATCTGCATTTTGGAACGATCCTGCCATCTGCCCAATGGAGAATGAACTGGAAAAGGGGAGAGAGGAAGCAGGAGCAGTCAGGAGGCCATGACAGCACCAGGAGAGATGGCGAGGCCTGCCAGGTGGTGGGGGTGGAGACAGAGGAGAGGGTGGACTGGACTGGTGTTGAGGATGGGGGAGGTGTCAAGGGTGACTAGCAAAAGGGGGGCATTTCCTGAGGGGTGGGCATGGAGGGGGGGTTTGGGGGGGCCCACAGGTCATTTTCAAAGCAGTTGGTTTGAGGTGCCTTTGAACTGAGCACATGGAGATGGCCATGACAAGGCTCAGGGCACAGAGAGGCTGTCAGGAGGGAGGAACCAGGGGTCTGGGTCTCTGGTGTGGAGACCATGTGGGCATGGGCGGGTCCATCCAGGGAGATAGTGCAGCAAGAGCAGAGAGGAGTGCTCAGGCCCAAGCCTGAGTGCACCTGCAAAACACACAGGCAGGGAAGAGCCAGGGTGCAGAGAGAAAGCCAGGGGAGGGTAGAATCCTGGACACAAAGGGACTGATGATGGCAGGGAGGACAGAGTGTCTATACTGTCACACTCCTGAGAAGCCGACTGGGATGGGATGGATAAAAGCCATTGGCACCAGCAACGTGAAGGCCTTCGGTGGGCTCACTGGAATCATCTGGTGAAGTCAGCTGAGAACAGAAGCCGACTGGAGGGGGTGGAGGAGGGAGGGGAAGGGACGTGGAGAAATGTGAGGGGGAAGGTGGGAAGATCCTTTCACGATGGAGGGAGCAATATTAGCGTCCATTTCAAAGGGAAGGTTTCAGTTGAGAGAAAGGGATGGAAGCTCTCCCAAGAAAAGATCGCTGATACTTTGCGTTCCCGATGACGTGGGTGGTGGACAACGGGGGAGTTGGCAGGCTGAGGGCTGGGGTGCTTCAGAGGAAGCTCCAGCTTGAAGGAATGAGGTTCAGATGAGAGGAAGCCTGCCTTGAATGTGGCAGGATCTGAGGTGATGACGGGCCCTAGAGTGTGACCGTGGGCGAGGGCAGGTGAAAGAGGTCAGGGGGTGAGGTCATCCTTTGGATAATGGAGTCACCGGAACTGAGCTAAGATCTAGGTGAAGGCTGAGGCAAGACGGAAGCATCCCAAGAATGAGGTGGAGTGGAGACCCAGGTGGGACAGCCCAGTGGCAGCAGCCTCCAGGGAAGAAGGTCTTCTACGGAGGAAGATGGTCCAGAAGTAACCCCGGGAGACAGAGCAGCTCCCTGTGGGAGTCTTCAGGGGTGAGCCAGTGTATAATAGGGCCCAGGCGATAGAGGCGCAGAGGGGGCGTTCAAGGACCCACAAGGCGGGAATAATCCGAGTTTGAGTGCAGCAGAAGACAGATGGAGGCTGGACTCTGGGGGCTGCTTGACAAACCAGGAATGAGGGCCATGGAGGGGTCAGTCTCTAAAGGGGGGGGTGGCTTGGCTGAATGGGTCCTGGCCTGGGGGCATCCCCAGAAGCCAGGAACCCTTGATCCCATTTGACAAGCAAGGAAACAGAGGCACAGAGCCAGGGAGAGGTCAAGTCATTTACTCAAGGTCAGAGAGCATAACCACTTATTATTGAGCGGTTATCATTACGATTTAAATTCAAACCCCGGAGTGGAGTTTCGAACCGTCATTCTGACTCCTAAGTAGTTGCTTCCATCCATCCTGTCTGTAACAGCCACGATGGGGCTCTGTCCTCCACCTCGCCTCAGGACAGAAGGCCTCTGTCCATTGTGCCCCCCAACTTTGATATTTCTGGCCTAAGAAGGCCACTTGCCCTGAGCGCCCCAGAGGAGGCTGGGAGCTGACAGCAGGCCACCTGCAGGACCAGACTGAGCACTAGGACACATTAGTGCCTGATGGTCTGGTGATAGGGGACATTAGTGGAAAGGAAGTGAGGATGACTCTGGTAGCCCCCCAAGGTGAAGTACCAGGCCCTGCCTCATCCTTGGGTTCCCGTACCTTCCCCAGGAGGGGTCAGAAAACCCCTGCAAGGCCAAGATGAAGTTTCTACCCAGTCCTAGTGAGGTGGGAGGGGATTTAAGGAAATGACAACAAAGGATGGGGCTTCTGTACCCGGCCTGTGCTGTGGCTAGGTCAGCAGCCCCCCAGCTGGTTGCCCTGCTGTGCTTTGAGCCCCAGAATGTTGTGGGCTTTAGCAATTCCTGGGAGCCTCCCAGGCAACCCGAGTCCAGAGCTTTATCCCTAGTAGTCAGTCAATATTTGTGGAATTAAATCTGGGGCCCAGCCTGGGAGCTGGGGCTGTGGAGCCAGACTGTCTGCCTCTGAATTCCAGCCCGCGCTGTGACTTCCAGCCTGCCACTCGACCTCTCTGAGGCTCAATTTCCTCACCCATAAAACGGAAGCGGTGCCAGCTGGTGTAACAGCACCTCGGAGGGCCTTGCACCCAGTTTAATGCTGTGCTGTCCCTGGATTGAAGTGCTTTGTCCAAGTTTGGACAAGGATCCCGCATTTTCATTTTGCACTGGGCCCCACAAATTCCTTAGCGGGTCCTGGATGAGAATAACAATGTTATCCACCTCCGGTGCTTGTTGCACGGACTAAACGAAATGATCTGCTTAAAGTGCTTCAGCACAGGAGTGCGCAGTAAATGGGAACGAATGGACCCCCGCCCCTCGCAGTGTGATAAATGAATGAAATCACCGAATGCAAGAGAGCCTGGAGCACTGGAAGCCAAGGTGCCAGTCCGGCAGAGCACGGAGGTGAGGGGCTGAGACCGGCTGAAAGGGACAGTGCGGGAGTGGTTTCCTCGCAGCCGGAGATTCGGCCTGTGTCCAGACTCGGACTCCATGCCCCGCAAAGAGTCCACTTGGTGAGAGCTGAGGACGTGGGTTCCAGTCTTTATTGCAGAGGCGCGGTATCGGCCCACCAGCCGGACGCAGTCAGCCTCTAGCTCAGGAGCTTGGTCCAGGCCTGATCAGTGCTCAACGCACACCACTGCCCCGCCCGGTCCAGGAGGCGGAGCGCGGGGCGCGTGCGCAGGGGCGGGCGCGCGCTCAGAGGAAGGGGTTGGTGCCGCCCTGCGCCGGCCCGTGCAGCGGCCC